TTCCGATCCCCGTATTGACAATAAAGGGAGCTGACAGAAAGGGGCAACCCCTCGCTACCTTGGATGTCACTCACGGCCATGTCTCGCTGCCAACCGAACCACTGACAATATCGGACAAGCTTCAATCTTCGTTCAAGTCCCCCTGAGCCTGAGTGGAAATCCACTCTTCCATTAGCGCCTGACGTGAAGTATCAGAAGCGGCTGGCCGAGCTCTCGCCTTATCGCCCTTTCGCGTCACCAGCAGACATAGGACCCAGCCGTAGATATTGAACCCTTCGTACTGTGTCCGAAAACCTAGCTTCTTGTCATCGTCGTCACCACCAAGCTCCTCCAGAGGCGAATCAGTTTCTCTCAGGCGCTTTGATGTACGTTCTCCACCTGGGCTCTGCACGTCCGTCCCTCGGCGTTTTTTCCCATTGGCGTCGCCTTTGTTCGCTTGTGGAATATCGCGCAGATCGGTGTCAGCTTCACTGTCACTCTCAACCAAGATCCTGTCGCCGCCTCCTTCGGACCGAATCACAGGAATATCTATCGTGTCTGCAGCGCCCTCGAATGTCTTGTGTCGAGTTAAAAGTGAGTGGCGTGTGCGAGATTCGCGAAGGAATAAGGTGACCTCGAACTCATCTGCGTCAGAGTCAACAATCACCCGATATTCACTATTCCCAAAATAGGAAGCCCATAGTACCTTCAGCTATCACATCTTTGACCGGCTTCCCTTTCTTCCTAGCAAATAACCTTTCATTTTCCTCTCGTAACTTTGGTAGCACCAACGGACGAATAGCGGCGAATATCCGGGGGAGTACAGGGTCTCGACTATCAAGGAGCCACCGAGAATCAGACGGATTCTCGAGATAGATTCGACATTCTAGGACAGAGTATTTGCTGATTCGAAGGTAACGCCGAACAGGTGCCATGCCGATTGGAAGGATTGACGTCACAGTCAATTGACCAGTTGCCTCTGTCCCCACTGAAATTCGTCGTTACAAAAGATCCTCTAAGAGCAACGGAGGCGGATGCTATCACAAAGCTGGTGTACCATATGATACAGAGGGTGGTTAGTGAAGTGGCCGTCCCCAAGCAGGCAGTCATGCTGCGGAGTTGAATGAGCACGTGACATCAGTAATGGAATCCCCAGCAGATTAAGCCTCGTAGTAGCTCCAACCATGTTTCTCACGTTTCCAAACATCAGAAACATTCATCTCTTGGACCTGATGTTTGGGAGCTTCAGGATTCACATCTTCTAGATCTATAGGGATATATGGTTCATCAGCCCTATTACGTGCCATTATTCTTTGGGCGAGCCTTGTGACTTCCATATATCCATACTGATATCGCCTGATTAAGAGTCCAGACTTTCCACGAGTCTGTTCTTTGCCAGGATTGTCCTCCGTGCACAGTAGTCTAGGCCGTTTTCTCTGAATTTAACTGATGGTTCGACAGACGCCGATTATCGGGACATAGGATGTACTATTGAAGTTCATACTGACGTGTGATATACCACCACCGCAGTCACTATAACAAATTCAGCTTCATATCCTCCCTGCCGAATAGTATCACGTCCACAAAATCTCCCTCTCCTCGCTTCTCTGAGAGCGAGACCTCGCACGGAGAACTACGTAAGGCTACGAATGATGGCGGATATCGAATCCACCTCTGTCTTTGACCGCACACTGCATACTATATATGTCGTACTTATGCCGCACCTCTTTCCTACAACTCTTCCTTGAAATGGATCACAACAACTCCTCTAATCATTCTACTCTGAGGTAGTATAAATATACGGAGTACTTCAATATGGTCTCAAAATCGTTTTGATTTCCTATTTCATCTGGCGAGGACCTCGAATTGCCCTTGCATATCCCATGTGGGAGGTAGTCTAATTGGCCCAAGATGGACTCCGTGCGAACATAAGGTTGCTTACGTGATATAGACTCGGCCTGAGACGGGCCCGCTGCCAATCAGAAGCAGTGGAATTGGGGGATAGCGTGCTCCCAGGGTCCTCACGGGGCGGGACGAAAACTCTTCGTCGTTGACGTTTGTTTGCTGGTTACCAAAAAGGTTGCGGCGCCGCTTTCTCCCAAGGTCCCCATCAAGAGACCACTCCCACCAACGAAATAGATGATTCAGAGTGACGTGGGAGATCTACTGTCACCATGGTCCTCGTTCCAACCATCAATTCTCACCGTCTGTACTCTGTACACTTCCTCGACGAACATATGCCGTTCTCACAGGGTTCTTGTCTGTCTTCGTGGTAAATTTGGTAATCGCGAACGAGAGTTCATCATCGGATATCTCATCTCCCATACAAACAATTCATTGGGAATCGCGGAATCCCTGGTTGACTGCTGGGTCTCTCGCTGTGCCACCAAGGTCCTCAATTGCGGATTCGAAATCCCCTGGTGCTGCCCTGACTGTCAGCGAATACACGACGGCCAAGTCTCTGACCTCGCTCTTATCACAGGCTGAGCAGCCTAAGCACTCAGTCTAAGTGAATAGTAGGGACCTTGAGGATTGTCATCAGAATTTTCCGAGCTTGTCGTCGGATTGACCGAAGGCTGTGCCCATATAAGAGGCCCGGCCAAGCCTTCAAGGAAGGACAAGATCGCTTGTTCTTCACTCAACAGAGCTTGTTTCCACGTTGTGTCTGCTTCGTGGAATATTTTGTCCGACGTCTGCCTTGATTTGATTGGGCTTTCGCCTGTGTCGATCATCCCTTGAGTGATCTGATCTGTGCGCTTTCATCTCCCATCCACCTCATTCATAGCTCAGAAGTGGTCCGTGCTGCTTGAATTCGCGGATCGGGCTGCGATACCTACCTATACTTCCAGAGGCTCTGTCGATTCGCCTTCTAAGTCGCACGGAAAACCATCATGCAAGGCCTTCACACTCTTCTGGTGCGCGACCCGGAGACGGGCGCCACGCCTTCTTGTAATACCGGGAACGAGTACGACGGGCGCATGGGCTTACGTATATCGTCCATCTTCGTGATTATGGTCGGCTCGATGTTTGGTGCTGTGTTTCCGGTCTTCGCACGAAGCTTTGGCACCTCGAAGTTTCTCAGACGGGCTTTTTTCGTTGCAAAGTACTTTGGCTCGGGTGTCATTATTGCTACCGCCTTCATCCATCTTTTAGCCCCAGCAGAAGAGGCATTGACTAATGAGTGTCTCACTGGTCCGATTACCGAATACTCATGGGTCGAAGGTATCGTCCTCATGACCATTGTTGTGCTGTTCTTCGTTGAGTTGATGGTGATGCGGTACGCACGCTTTGGTCATGACCACTTGGGTGATTTGGGACACGACGATCATGTTGATGTTCCGGCCGCGACCGTCGAATCCAAAAGCCACCTGCCTGGAGAGGATCATCTCGGTCACTCCCGCGAGCATCACGACACCGAGTTGGGTGAAAAGGCCTCCTCAGTCGAGGACTATGCCGCTCAGTTGACATCCGTTTTCATCCTGGAGTTCGGTATCATCTTCCATTCGATCTTCATCGGCCTGACCTTGGCGGTAGCCGGAGAAGAATTTACCACGCTCTACATTGTCCTGGTCTTCCACCAAACCTTCGAAGGTCTGGGTCTGGGCTCCCGCCTGGCAACGACCCATTGGCCCAGCTCAAAACGCTTTACTCCCTACCTACTCGGACTCGCATATGGCCTCTCTACGCCTATTGCCATTGCTATCGGACTGGGGGTGCGTAACAGCTACCCCCCCGAAGGTTACACCACTCTCGTTGTCAACGGAGTTTTCGATTCCATTTCCGCCGGTATCCTCATCTACACGGCTCTTGTGGAGCTCATGGCGCATGAGTTCATGTTCAGTCCATCGATGCGCAAGGCACCGATCCGAACTGTTCTTGCGGCGTTTGGTCTACTATGTCTGGGTGCGTTGCTGATGGCGTTGCTTGGAAAATGGGCTTAATCTATTACTGTCAACAACATTGGCTCTGTGTATATGTATATAGATCATATCCAAATAATCTAATTTGCTTCAATTTCTCCTACTTGGCCGGATTCTCGTAACAAAGTAGCAATTCCCGTTTTCACCTAATAAAAGATATGGTCAACATGTCGGACTGTAGAGGAAACAACAAAATCACAACCATCAAATATGTTGGATGGTGATATGTGTTGTCGACGGACCTCCGCATACTAAGCAAACTGCGGCAGATCACCATCTAACCACGTTGCCTCGTCTGGAGCACGTCACACCCAACAACAGCCGACCCAACACACAGCGACGGTCCAATTCATCTACCTCCCGATATCTTCTTCAGTAAATTCCAATTCCTCCATTCCAATCGTCAATAACTGTCAAAATGCGCATTCCTCTCGTCTCCGCCCTCTTCCTCTCCCTCACCACACTCGCCCTCTCGGCCGACCTCGGCATCAAGAAGACCCACGAGGTCGAATGCAACCGCAAGACCACAAAGGGCGATACAGTCCACATGCACTACCGGGGCACCCTCGCGGCGGATGGTTCCGAGTTCGACTCGAGCTATGGTCGCAACCAGCCGTTGAAGTTCAAGCTTGGTGCGGGGCGGGTCATTAAGGGGTGAGTTTTCTTACGTCTCGTTTCGGGTACTTCGTTTCAGAGGAGGAGTGTCTGACTCATGGGGTTTATTCAATTCTCTAGGTGGGATGAAGGGCTTTTGGATATGTGTGTGGGAGAGAAGCGGACGCTGACGATCCCGCCTGAGTATGGGTATGGCGACCGCGGGATCGGTCCCATTCCTGGCGGCGCGACGTTGATTTTCGAGACGGAGTTGGTGCAGATTGAAGGTGTTGATAATGATGAGCTGTAGGTTTTTGGATGGATCGCTATAAAGAGATGACAGTGTTTCCCTAGGCTTGCAGGAACGCCGCAGGTAATCATATAGGTTGATGGTCCCGATGCGGACTTCTCTATGGGTATCTATCTAGTTGTGCAAATAAAACATGATATACATCCAGGCCCCAAGTCTACACATGTACCTTACTCCGCCAAATGCCAATTATAAAATCAGTCCATCGCATCGAGACTGCTCTCGTTGGCTTTCGCTTCGTTCTCCGATACGAGAATGCCCACTAGGCACTCCCCCAGGATCGCATCCCAGTTCACCCACGGGTGGATCTCCATGAACAGTTTCCCAGAGTCCTTGCCTGCACCCCGAAGCAGCTCTCCCTTGCCCCCGGGATGAAAAGGGAGGTACGGAGTGATATTGTAGACCTTGCCCTGGTAGGAAGTCCACGCATCGCTGCCCTTGCGTCCATTTTGCGCCTTCAGCATTGACGGTGACACTCTGATGAGAGTCGGGGGTAGGTTTGCACCCCGCAGATTATTGTTCGGCTTCGCTGTGAGCGCGGCCCAATCGAGCGGCGAGTATCCTGGTTCCAAAATTGCCTTCTTCGCTGTAGTCGACGGTTTCAGCGTGACTTGTGTAGGCGCAAGCGAGTTGTTGCTTGCGGCGCGGCTGCCCGGTGGCACGCGCAGAGAGGCAGCAGCAGATGGTGGCGGACGAAGTGCGCTGCCCCCACTAGGACGTGGGAGGTACCGTCCGGGACTTAGCGATGAGGTTGGCTGAGGCTGCTGGTTCTGTAGCGTCGACGGTCGTAGACGTGGAGGGGGAGGGGGAGGCATCAAAGAGGAGGTGCTGGATCCGGTCTGGCGCGGAGGCACCACGGGAATCGTTTTTATTTCGCTCAAAGTAATAGATTCAAAATCCAGTGGCGATTTGGCAGAGCCATCGCGTGTTCGCTGCTCATTGTTTCGCTTACTCGGACCAGCTGCCTCGTCAGTCTGGTCGCTGGCAAGGTGGAGTGTCGGGATATGGAGAGCCGGTGCCTTCGTCGCTGACGCTTTTGGTGTCGTTTGGGGATCCTCCGCATCTTCATTCTCGTTCTTCGGTGTCTTCAATTCATTCCTCCGTAAATTATTATTTTTCGAAGGAAGGTTGTTTGTCTCGGCTTCATCGGAGGTTGATCCCGGCGGCTGAGGCGAAGGGGCAGGAGGGAGCTCTTGAGTCCATGATGCAGGAGGGTATCGATAGAACAAATAGCATGCAGTCGCAAGAAGCGTCACTACTCCGACCCAGCCCATACCGGAGCACCGAGGTCTAGAATAGAGGTCTAGAATAGAGGTCTAGAATAGAGGTCTAGAATAGTCTATAGAAATCGGTGAGCGAAGGTGCCTGATGAGCGGAGGGGAACAAAAGGCAAAAAATGACGACAGAAACAGAGTAGTGGCTCGTGCTTACAACCAAGCTTGGAATTATGGTATGGATAGACACAACCGTACAGTACTCCGTAGAGTCTGTATCTACCTCCACTTATTTCGAAAAGATATACTATTCACCTTTCTTGCTCTCTTGAAACAGTCTTCATGATCTCCATGACCGAGTTATGATTATTACACCCATTTTCTGTCTCATCATGCTTATCCGCAGAGGACAATTTCCACTATGAGTGTACTAGACCCTGTCGAGCAGGCTATCGTGCTACGCTGAATCCACGGATGAGGACCTACGGTGGCCACGCATGGATGAGCACGATATGACGGCTAAGCAAACAGCTGTGATTGATCTCAAGGCGTCCTGGTGTCGAGGCGCCACCACCGGTTGGCCAAGATTCGAACCATTGGCAGCGTTGACTCTCCTAGATGATAACGAGCATCTTTCCAAGGTGATACGTTGAGCGGTTATTATCCATTCTAAAAGCAACTTCAAATACCAAATGTTTCGCAATACCATCTTGTCTACCTCAGATGCGCTTCTGTTGTTCGATGCAGGAGCAGGCCAAGTAAGAAACCCTTTCTGTTCTCTAAATCAATCGGCAGCACAGCTGTTATTCTTCGACTAATCCAACTCCAGGTCCAAGGGGGTCGACCTTTTCAGGAGGATCGTTGCACATTCGTTTTGCCAGATCAGTTTCCTTCTCAGACAAACGATAAGCTCACCTTTTTCGCGGTCTACGACGGACAGTAAGGGCTTTGTCGAGTTAGCTGCTGAGAGGATGTAGGCTGACCATAATGATTAGTGGCTCAGAGCTAGTCTCGGATCATGCCAGCCGGAACCTGCACTTGTTACTAGCTAAGCGTCCCGAGTTCGACCAAGGCGATTATGAAGGTGCCATAAGAGGGGCATTGATCGATGAAGATGCTGTTTTGCTGGACACCTTCAATAACCTAACCACCGAGCCTGCCGTTTCCGGTTCCACTGTCGCGCTGTGCTTCGTCAATCTCACCAAGGGCGATCTTGTTGTAGCCAATCTCGGAGACTCACACGTCATCCTGGCCGAGCGTGATAACCGAACCGACCACCCATCCCAAATCGTAAGTGAGGAGTGCTTGCTGATTCCCAAGGAATTTTGGCTGATTGATGCCTTAGCGACGGCTTTCGAAGTCTCATAAACCGGATACACCCGATGAGAAGGCTCGAATTGAAGACGCTGGCGGCGCTGTCAACACGAGAAGAGGGACTGCTCGCCTAGGTGCGTATTGTTATGCAAAAAACTCAAAGCTATATCAATTCCTGACATTTGCCATCTTGACTCCTCCTAGGCAGCCTGAACATGTCACGAGCGCTGGGGGATCTTCAGTATAAGAACCCAATCAACAATGCCGGTGACGAATATTCATCCTCAAAGACCCGACGGGCGTCTGCTAGTACTTCAGCACCAGAGACCCGAGGTAATTTTCTGTCTGTGGAACCTCACATGACCCGGATGACGCTTTCGCCAGATCGACGTTATCTCGTGGTGGTCACGTCCGACGGCGTTAGTGATAACATTGACGATGCAACATTGATCCATCATGTGATGAGGTTATCCATGCGCGGCATGAGAGCTGGCGACATAGCTCAAGAAATTGCGACTACTGCTGCAGCTCAAACGGCAAAGGGGGGAAGCGATAACGCATCCTGTATCGTGGCTCTATTGGACGGTCAAAACACCTAGAGCCAAGGCAGAGCAGGTCTCTGAAAACCATCAGAAGAAAGCAGTAACAGAACCCTCTAATAATATCTGTCATGGAAGTGTAGGTACGCAATTAGATGAGATGATACATACACTGTGATAAATTCTGGATATCTTGGACACGGGCTGGAGGGATATGAAAAAATGGACTGCATTTTCATGGGCGGCTAAAATGTACATAGAGCATCTGGATTAGATTGATAGACGTGGGAATACGGAGTACGGAGTCGCTCATTCAAATTAAACGATCAAAATGAAATAGAGGTCATATGGGAGTCACAATCCTGTGGCGTTGATTTATAAAGCGGATTCGGAGTATTAACCACATATTCTGTAGTTCTACTCCGTAATGATCCTGAGTACCGTTAGGGAAAGATGCCCAAGACTCTCTATCCCTGAAAGAGAAGGTGCTTTTCTCCAATTAACAAGCATCAACACTAGTTGATTATAATAATAACCACGCTAAAATGCACTGGGTGTGACTCCATCACACCCACCCCCAGTCCTCAGTATGCAGAATGACTTTAGTCATGGCTGACTTGAGAACCAACCCCTGCTCGATCAAAACTCCATCGAAAATAGCGAGCCCGACCTGAATCTGATCACTTTGTCCGTCCATGCGTCAACTGCCCATACTCAGTGGAACAATAGTAGATACTTCGATGGACTGGTATGGACGGGTTCCGAATACAACGCCGAATACAAGGAAATCTTCACGCCCTGATTGGACCCCTTCCGGCGGCAGCTCCCCGACCTCTGTTCACCATGAGGTCCACTGATCCAAGGGTTGCGTGGACGAAGAGCTCCATCACCTTCCTCTCTGGTATAAATTCCGGTTCGCTTTAGTTAAGCCCTGTCATATCATTATCATTGTTCCCTGCTGTGAGATACCACCTGCCTATCCAGTCTACTAATGTCTCATCCTTTTCTCAAATTAGGACTCAGGAGAGACTCGTGGAATTTGCCGCTATATTTGACAATCTGACACTCCTTCTGAGTGGGGACTCCCGATTGGCTAATGATATCGGATTCATCATAGATCTGCCATTCTCTGTGGAAGGCTAAAAGTGAAAATGATTCCACTTCATGATTCAGTTGCTTTTGTTCTAGGAAGTTCCTCTGACTTGATGTCCTCCTTTCTTTTCCGTCCTTTTGCTGGAGCGAGAACCTGTACTGTTAAGGTTCAATCACCCTTCTCCGGTGTCGGGAGCGCCCCTACGATCAAGCTCTTACCATCCAGGACAACGCCATGAATTCAACACCCGCATGCCAGATGTGCCATATTGGGCGCGACAGTGGACATGCACGATGGTCGAGAAAGATCCCACCTGCATTAGTTATTTCATCAGGCGAGGTCGTCACGTTTGATACGATTGACAGCAGTAATGGGCGAATTGAGAGGACCTCTGACGCTTCAGCAATAAGCTCCTTGGATATGGATGCGGCAAATCCGGTCTTTGGTCCTGTTTATATTCAAAATGCGCAACCAGGCGATACGTTGAAAGTCGAAGTCATCGCTTTGGAGACCGCGGACTGGGGATGGACAGCTACTATCCCTGGATTCGGACTCTTAGCAGACGACTTTCCGGATCCTGCGCTTCATATTTGGCAAATCAATAAGGAACAAGGATGCATTCTTTTCAAGGATAATATACGGATTCCTTTGCGCCCATTCCTGGGTTGTATCGGCCTGGCGCCTGCAACAGACGAGGACTTGTCTACGGTTCCTCCCACAAACGCCGGAGGTAATCTGGATTGCCGTGACTTGACCGTCGGGTCCACCCTCTACCTGCCCGTGCAAACGGACGGGGCTCTCTTTAGCTGTGGTGATGGCCACGCTGCCCAGGGCCATGGAGAAGTGTGCGGCACCGCAATCGAGACCTCAATCAAGGCTACACTTCGATTCGAACTGTGCAAGGACATGCCGTGGGTGACAAGTCCACAATATGAGACCTCGTCCAGCAATCTGCCGACAACTAGAATGCCTGTATCTGGCCGATACGCAACAACCGGTGTCGGCCAAACGCTTCACGAGGCCTCCAAAACAGCGGTCCGGAACATCATTCAGTGGATGGTGGCCACTAAGGGCTTGACTCATTGTGAGGCATACATAATAGCCAGTGTAGCAGGCGATCTACAGATCATTGAGGCGGTAAACATGCCTAACTACGTGGTGGCAATGACAATCCCGTTGGGCATTTTTGGCTCAAGTCAGTGAGCCTTCAGCCATATTTATGCCATCCAGCTGCACATGGTGATTGACTCAAGTATGTATCGAGAATTCCGAAGTTACAGAGGTCAATCATTAGGAGTTTTCTGGTCTTATGAACCCGGGATATCTTTCTTGCTTTGGTTCATGCGCCCTCAGCTATGTCCTTCCGATGTTATGATACCCACTTTGTTCGCGAAGAAATACTTCGAATAATACGTTCTCATGAGTATTATTAAGATGCCATCAACTATTTAATGGTATATCTCAAATGTCACTCTGTAGAAACCAACGGCTGCTGTATTTGCTATTTTGCACAATAAGTCACATGATTTCGTGTCGCAAGCGTGTCGAGGCCTGTCGGGGGTGAAGTGCATGTAACACTAAACAACGGCAATCTATCTTTCTGGACCACATGGATTCCACATTGGAAGGCCTTAATACCGCTCAAAAAGCCGCAGTAACTTCTCCTGCTTCCATCTTGCAAGTCCTCGCTCCTCCTGGCTCTGGAAAGACGAAGACATTGACCTCACGCGTCGCGTATCTCCTTTCGCATTATGGATACCAACCGCAGGATGTCATCTGCTGCACGTTCACCATCAAAGCGAGTCGTGAGATGCGAGAACGTCTCGCGAAGCTGGTAGGCGATGAAGTACAGTCTAAACTGATTCTTGGAACTTTCCACTCAATATGTCGTCGGTACCTGGTGAGCTACGGTTATCTGATCGGGCTGCGGAGAGGTTTCGGCATCGCAGACTCCAGCGATAGCTTGGCAATTATCAAAGTAGGGATCCCCTGTTGACGCCGTGATCTTTTCTACACTCTAGTCATCTGTTGCTAAACAATGCTATCTGCAGAGGATAGTGAAACGTCTACGGTGCAGCATTCAGCCAAACACTGCTCGAGCGCGCATATCTCACCAGAAAGCTCATGGAGTCAGCCCGGATGAGGCCGCGGTGAAGTATTCCAGAGGTTCAAAGTCGGCGGAGCATCACGAATTTGTCCAAATCTATCGCGAGTACGAGATCTACCTAGCGACGTCCAATTTGCTCGACTATGACGACCTTCTTCTCCGATGTGCCGATTTGCTGAGACGACATCCACAATGCGTCTCAAACGTGCAGGCAGTCCTGGTCGATGAATTTCAAGACACTAACCATATTCAGTACGAGTTGATGAATTTATTTGCAGTAAGAAATCGCCGGATCACTGTGGTTGGAGACCCGGACCAAAGCATTTATGGATTTAGGTCGGCGGAGATCAAGAACCTCGGGCGAATGCAACAGCATTACAAGGACACGTCGGTGATACTATTAGAAGACAACTATCGCTCATCTGGCTCTATTTTAAGATCGGCGCAGGACGTCATTGAGCAGGACTCATCTAGGCCAGCCAAGAAGCTGCAGCCGACTCACTGCCCGGGAACAATGCCTGTGCTGCGCAAGCTGCCAACTGCGGAGGCCGAGGCTCAATGGATCGTGCTTGAGATTAAACGATCCATAGCTATGACGGGTAAATTGCTCAACTACTCGGATTTTGCGATCCTGCTCAGATCAGCTGCTCTCTCGAGACATATCGAATCTGAGATGGGAAAGCAAGGCGTACCATACAAGATGGTTGGTGGCCTGCGATTCTTCGACAGAGTCGAGATCAAGGTGCTATTGGACTACCTGAGAGTCATAAGCAATCCCGGAAACAGTGATGCGCTCCTGCGCATCATCAATGTACCATCACGAAAGATCGGCGAGGAGTCCGTGAAGACTTTGATGAATGGTGCAGACGCAGCGAAGATCCCTTTGTGGAATTTCATCAAAGATGTAGCGCAGGGTCGCAGGTCGACCGACAAAAACCTGGCCAAACTTACTGACCAGGGCCTTTGCACTCTGGTTGGAATCATTGAATCATCCAGGCAGAAACTCCTCGAATGTACGGACGGCTCCGCACCTCGCAAGCTTCTTGAGTTTGTGATTAAGAAACTCAATTTCCGAGAATATCTAACAGCAACTTACTGTCAGAATGAGGAAAACCGATGGGCGAACGTGGAAGAGCTCCTGGCCCAGGCAGGTGACGTGGCTGCGACTGAGACTGAAAATGATCAGGATGATAGTCTGCCTGAAATTCAGGGGCTTGCCCAACAGCAGGCCCATAAGGGTGAAGAAGCATTATCGCAATTCCTGGCAAACGTGGCGTTGTCGACCGAAGTCCTCTCTGAAGACGGCGATCAACCCCAAGAAAAAGTGACCATTTCCACCATTCATGCGGCGAAGGGCCTGGAATGGCCCGTGGTGTTTGTGCCGGCTGTATACAACGGCATTATCCCCCACTCGCGCGCAGAGGACTCGGACGAAGAGAGACGGTTGCTATATGTTGCCATGACAAGAGCGCAGGCGCTGTTATACCTGAGTTATCCCCTGAGGCAATCTCGCAACGAGGAAGCGACGACAACTGTGACGAGTTTCCTTCCACCCAAGCTCATTGAAAATCGCTTTCGACCACTTGGGCCTAACCTGCAGGAGAAGGTCGTCTATGGAATTGCTGACATCCTGCGGCGGCCCCGACCTTCATCCGAGAGCATGCTTGCGGCGTACGACTCAATTCCTTCGTTGCGAGATGATCAGTGGACAGCCGATGGCAAAGAAGCCCCCGATGCTGTAGTTAAGTGGGATGGCTCGAGGGCTTGGGGCGAGGAGCCCGACCCCAAAAGGCGGCGCTACAACCCAAATCCGTCGTTTTCTTCAACCACGACATATCTGTCATCCTCTACGTACATAGTTAACCATCCGCAGTTATCCATGTCCACAAACATGTCGCTCGGCTTCTCATCGGCGCGAGACTACATCAGCACCACGTCTGCCTCACAAGCCGCGCAATCTTCAGGCCCCAAAGTTGATTGCAGATCCAACCGCAACAGCACAGGGCCGGCCGGTCGGAATGCAACTGGACTTTCTCATGAGAACATATCGCGATTCTTCGGCAAGTCTTCGATGCAAGCCAAGGATCCTTGTCTACCAGCGCCGATGGCATCTTCGCAGCCTCAGATCGGTGCCAAAGGCCTGCTCGGGCAAGCGAACCACGTCCCTTTGTCAAATCCCGCCTTCAAAAGCGTCATTCCTACTCAGTTATCGTGTCATCGTCCGCAGACGCAACGCATTCAACCGCCTCGACCAGTTCTTGAGCCATCGGGTAGCAACGAGTATAATTGGTTGGCCGCAGCCTCGAGGCCCATCGAGAAACGGACCTTGCAAAATGGTGAGGAGAATCAGGGACCACCGAATATGAAGGAGACTCTCATTTCTGAAAGCGGTACTGGCGAGAATAAGAACCCTTCGGGCGCGGTCGGCGGCGTGCGGCCCGTGGCCACGTTTCATACCACTACGATGACGATGGTGCAAAAAGCGGGTCCAACGGGGCGAAGGACGCTGGGGATTCGAAGAACAGTGAATGATGGCTGGGCCGACCGATGGAAAAAGGCAGGCAACGGGCAATCGCGATGACCTTGTGGGCTTTGTGGGATACATAGGTTGGACGTTAGGCGTTGAGGAGTGATAGGGCACGCTGACAGCGTGGCGTGGCACCTAGCAAGAAAACTCACTCTTTTATTGCAACATCTACGTAGATATACGATGATGTAGTAACTATCTCTTGTGCTGAGACGAGCAATCAGACATGGTCACTGGTCACTCTTTGCGCCGCTGGCTCGAAGATACGTTGGGTCCAAATGCCCAGTCAATCCGTGCCTATTACACTTCTTTTCTAACATCCTACCAGTCCAGTTTGAAACGATCCACATATCATACTGAAACATCCGAGACAAAATTTTGGTTTCTGCGAGGGCCCTGACTGCTGACGCTATTTGAGAAACATGTAAGCTAGGTAGTGGTTACTGATCAAAGGGTCGCGACGATGCCGCTACCTCCAGCGCAAAATCGACATCAGCTCCAACAGCTATGACTGGGACCCAAATGAGCGCGAGAATAATGCGCCTATCGCATCTAGAAGCATTCTGAGCTGTTGCTCCTCCTTACGGACAGCTAGCTCAACACAAGATTACCCACGCTCCTAAAGAGGAGTTCTCGCATGGAGTCTTACCTGCCTCTGGTCTACTCACTTTGACCACCTACAACACGTACCTTACACAGAAGTCTAGACGGTCTTTCTCACGGCCTGACATAGCCAGGAATTGTCGGTCAAGAAAGTACTGTAAGTCTACATAGTTTGAGACTAGCAGGAACTCCGGCGCACCCCACAGCGAACCTAACTGTAAGGTCTAATTCCAGGAGCAATGGACTTAGAGCAGTACTAGCTTACAGGTTGTACAGCTACTCCTAGTGACATGCATATGAGTGTTGACTCAGGTACGCCGAGTGTACCTCACGTCAAGCAGAATGAAAACGCCAACTGCTCACCGCAACTCTGCTACTTGTTTCTCACTACCCATCTTCTACGGAGTACGTGGGGAGTGATCAAAGCTCAGTCGGCAATTGGTGGGTCTAGGGAGAGTCTAGAAATAGGTTGGACTTGTACAGTTGTACTCTGTGCCCCCTAAAGCTATCGTCTCTTTGGACAGTACGGAGTGCTGGCAAGCAAGTAGAGGGTCATACTGCGTCTGCATTGACCATCATGATGTCGTACTTCGTGCTTTAACTCCATAGACCAAACGATGGTGTTGTGATCTTCCGTCGTACCCCGTACGTTGTTCCATCTGGACGAAAACGGTCTATCTAGAGTCTAGACAGAGTAGCTTTTAGACTATGCTCTTATGTTGTGGATCAGGGAGCTATGGATTTGGCATGGGGTGTTTTGGTGTGTATGGAGTATAGGTAGGCCATGGAGGTACTTCGGTACTTCGTACGGAATACTCGTTTCGTGCTCGCTCAACACATGTCTTAGCTTCGTTTTCTTGGTACTGTTCCATAGACGTCGTCCTAAATGCTCGTCTTTCGTTTAATTAATTTCTCCATTAGCTGGCTTGCCGGCTTGAGGCCAGGTCAAGTGTAAATTGTTATGGGCTTGACTAACCAAAGCACTATTCTGTAACAGGACTAGTTATTAATAGTACATGATCAGGTGATCGGACCCACATCAGCTCAGTGAGGCTATCCCCTGTTCAGGTTAGACCAGTGGGGATTCAGTAGTCCACGTATCATTACGTTTAATACTGCAGCCCTTCCAATCACTGCTGATCAATACAGTAGCCTTCGTTGAGCTATGTAAGGCACCGTACCCGGTAATGCTGGCCTAAGGCATGGTATGGATGGACAGCTCATCCTCACCCCATCGTAGCAGTTAGGAGGCTAAGTGCTACAGTAATGATCCCTCATTCGACGGAATGAACCCATATAGAGTGTATGGCGATGCAAACAGGTCAAATACCTAGTAGGATCAGCAGTGACGAAGGAGGCAGAGTCCAGGCTATCTTGAACGCGAGACTAGGCAGCCACTCGCCTCAGCCTTTGCACGACAGCCACACCAGACAGTGGTCAGTAGATATATGCTCAGTTCGCACTTCGCACAGCCATCTACATCATCATTGGTCCCATCATTGTTGGGAATTGCGTATAGAGTCTTTACGGAATTCTCCGTAGAGCGCCTACCCGTCGTCTCAAGACTTGTACCTAGGAAGCAGGATGGCGATTGACACTTCAGCCTCATCAGGCTGAGCAGTGATGCTTACGCTGCAAGGGTATGGAATGTGGCTAGGGCAGTACGGAGTACCTCACCTCACCTCACCTCACCTCAGTACATGGACAGGTCAATGCGTCTGAAACGGCGACCACGTTACTGAACTCTTGGTTTCTATCGTTGATATAATGGCGAAATAATGAGAAAAGTTATTCCCTGTAAACTACAACGCACAATTTTGCCGTTCCTGATGGCCCAGCAGGAGGTATGGAAATGGTGTGGTTGAGACTATCCAGAAGGGTCAACTATAAGCCAACAGACTAGATCAGTTGATCAACCGCCATCTGCATCACCCAGTGGGAATTATCGAATCTGGTTTGTCGCCTCGTCTTACGACCCGTCATTTGGGTTTTCTTTTTGGCTTTTTGCCCCTGGCAGCATCAGTGGAGTCGAATGAGTTGCACCAGAACGGCTCTGAATGGATAATCTTGCAGTCCTACCAGCACTGTCCAGCAAGTGTTCCCCAGAAGGATGCCTTGTTGTGTATTTTCGAAATTCCTGCATTCTGGATGGATAATAACTGAAAACATGACGTCTCTTTCTCTACAAATGGCTGTACATACTCCATGCTTGGCATAACAATTGTAAAGGAGAATAATCGTTATGCGTACAGTTATCCATAGAGAAGTGCATGCTGTGATTGATCCATCTCTCGCGTTAAGTGTCTCCAATTGCTATTTTAGTGCATTTATTTTGGATTCATGTAGAATTTCATTTCAATTTCCATTGTTTCGATTATCCTCTTCGTCTACTTCTTGTATCAAACTTCAATACTTCTGTCTATTCCTCTTTTGACCGTCCATAGCTTCTTAATACAGCAACACAGAGCATACAAAAAGGCCCCATCGTCCCAGTCCCCATCCTCACTATCTCTCTAGCTTCAAGCCAGTAGCATCGACATTCAACATCAAGTGCAACCATCTTCCCTCCTTTTCTATATAATCCTTCTCTCTTTCTTCCTTGTTCCTGAATTAGAGTATCTACTCGTTACCTTTTTGTCGCCTACTTTTCCCGTCTTCACCCTGCTCCGCCACATATACTCTCGAGAACTATCTATATAACCCTCTCTCATCCTTGGGCTCCCTACAATCCATCTCCCGACTCTCTTTCAACCCAATCCGTCATTATGCCTCACAAAGTCAACGATTCGAATTCCACCCTGGCCAGCAGCGCCAGCAGCAGTGATAGAGTAGTTGTCACAGACCTGCGAGGTATGTTCCCTGTTGCTGGTTTGATCCTCTTGATGAAAGAATCACGATCTCCCAAATCTAGAATCGTCACTAACTGGGGCCCGTTTCTTGCTTCCAATAGGGTCGAATCCTGTCCCACGCCGAACCCAACCCCCGGTAATCATACATAACCAGGAAGGACAAATTTATGACGAGACACGACCTTCTGATTGGGACAAACAGCGGTGGAAGTAGACTATCCACCGCTGCATCCTTTCCCTATTTTCCGGAAAATGGGGAAAGAATGGGAAAGGGAAGGGAAAAGAAGGGGGTTTGCTACAAATTACCAATGGGAATAGGGCCCAGTCTGCTCTTCTTGCCCCAAGCGCTGCTGGCAGTTGCTGCTTACTACTCAAGCTGGGCGGGAAGAGCGGCTGGGCTGGGGAATGGCCTGCTGATTATCCGCGCGGCTTCCCTTGGTACCCTTTTGGGAATGGAAAAGTGAGGCGGACGATCGACACCTCCAATAATAACGACGGACCGTGGACGGGATGGATTTGTCTCTCAGTCATCATCCCATCTTTCCATCTATCGATTATCGGCAAAGTTACTCCCCTCTCGGCTGTCGACGGATGCCTTCTCGACATTCTGGACCTTTCTGTTCTCGTCTTGGTTCAGGTCCATCTTCGTCACCGCAACAACACGACACTCAAATGATGATGATAGATCGATACCACCGCCGACACCACCCCTGAACAGAATGTCCGTTGCCGAGCCGATCCAGTCCCTTTTGGAATCCCATCTACGCCCCGGATTTTACCCTTGTTTTCTCCGCGAAATTTCCTCTTCCCCCCCTTTGCCCTTCCCTTTCCCCTTTTGTACTGTACTTTACGACTGGAGTTTCTTGTCTTTTTCTGCGACTGGTTTGTATCATCTTTGTCTTCTCCTTATTTCGTTTCCTTGTCTCTCACACGTGTCACATTCCTCCGCGTCCAAGTGACAAGGAGTCTTGACTGCGGTGTCCCCATGCTCGTATCAAGCATGGGAGATAGTGCGGAGCAACCCTTGCATCAACATCGTCGCCAGCCATGACTGAATAGTCCGGAGTCCTGATCCTTCAGTCCTGCACCTTGCAAGTGGTCATACCACCCCCAGATATGGGTGATCCGCATATCGCTGTTTCTTTCCTTCCCTTACTTTGCTGTATTATTACCATCGTCACTACGGAGTATGTCTGGGTCTCTTCTTCATCTTCTGTTTCGCATAGCGTGGGTACCGGGTTCTTTCTTTTGTTTTTTTCCCTTCAAGTTCCCACTGGGATTATGGAAACGATCAAAACTCCAGCTCTTGAGGTTGAATCGTTCCCAGACCAGATGGTGACCACCTTCCATGATGAACTCGACTACCTGCTCATGACACTCGCTTTTCGCACACGTCTTTGATCCAGATTGAGATCAGGCTGCCATTGTCCTTGGACGAGCTCCTTTTTCGGGTTGACTTCCACATGTACACGTGCGGTTGACTGAATATTTTTCATGGCTATGACTTGGCCATATAATCGCAATAGAATAATTATTGTGAAACAACGCTTTTTTTTTTTTTTTTTTTTTTTTTTTTTTTTTTTTTTTTTTTTTTTTTT